TCGATAGGACTCTTCATTATGAGCACGCGAAGCCCAAAGCTTTACTGATTCGATTTAATCAACGTAGTGTCTATCTTCTGTGGCATGAACTGCTTCGCCGTCGCATGGCTCCTTCTTGTTAAGAGGCGCACCGAGCTGCGAGAGAAGTACGGCATCACCCAAACCCATCTGGAGAAGTTCCTGAAATGGGAACCTGGCACCATCAAGGCCAAGCACAACTATGAAGAGTCCCTGGTCCAGGACTGCCTCGCGTCCTTCTTCTGTCCTTGCTGTGTTATCGTTCAGCAAGAGAAGGAGGTCCTCTCTCGACAGGCTGCTGGGCAGGCTGGTTATCAGAAGACTCAGTCTATGGCTTATCCACCGGCCTAGGTGATAAAGGATGTCGGTGGGAAAGCTGATACCACAGGTGGAAATGGGTGTTATGAGAAATAAGACTATTATGGTCAAACAATTAAATTCTATGCGGTTATTGGGGCTGGTTCGATTTCAGCGAACGTCATGAATGCATTGTCTATCTCTTGCTCTTTTTCTTAGCAGATTTCCTATGTTGCCAAATTTTCACTCTTGAACAATACCCTACTGAAAATGATCACTTTATTATTTCCTCCACCCAACGAGGTTAATTTCCATATTCCAAATTTCGCTGTTCAAGTATCCCTGAAGACGTCAGAGAGACATGCCTCGAAAGCAAAAACCTCAAGAAACAATTTTCCCTTTTCTGATTTTAACTACTTGCACCCCTGAGCATTTTCGCCCGATAACACGCGCTAAGGAACGCGCCTCGCAAGCTAACTTAGACTGGCTGAAATACTTTTCCTGTTCAATACTTTTCCTGTTCTGGAGTGTCAACACGAACTCCATCGCCCGACCCAAGCATGTGCTTAACTGAACTTTTGCCGCTCCTGCTCCTAATCGTCGCGAGACAGGTTCCGGTGCTCACATTCCTTCAGTCGCTTTTGACTCGATGTAGAAGAGCTTCCTTTTGTAAGATGGAAAAAGTGACTATGACATATGGTGAACTTCACTTTATTTCAAATAACTTTTCCCTTCTCGATTGAACCATGGCTATAGATAGTTTACTTTTCCTTAGACATTCATGACACAAACACCCTCACATTTGAATTCACAACCCCCCTAGTTGCAATAACATGGAAGACTTCCATCTTCCCACCATCACCAGAATCCTTCTTTTTGCTTCTCAGTAAAATTTCATTTACACCAGGTGAAGCAATAGAATCATTGTCATTTCAGTCATCAATTACACCCACTTGATGACCATGTTCTTTGAATATACAGTGCTCACTTTATATGACTCATAAAGCAGCCGTGCGAATCAGCTATCTCTCTCTCACACACACACAGTCAATGGTAATTTTGGCTTGGATTTCAGCAGCAAATGACTTATTATTGCCACTGACAGAGAAATGGTATTTGGCATTTGAGAATGAGAGTGCAGACCTGCTAGTTGCTGTGTGTGATGAGAGTTTTGATTAATATACTCCAGAAAGCCTAGGTGGGGCGGGTTGTCTTGTTGTGGGAGTCTGTAGCAACATATTCAGTAGAAATTAGAAGAGCAGACATCATCTTCACAGTCCTATTTTAATTTCACCTGAATGGGGTATTTGAGAGGTGGGTGACTTGATCATATTCAGCAGAGAATAGGAAGTAGATGCCTGATGTGGCTATGCCATCTGCAGCTCACTCTGGAAGTCTGTCCAGCATCTTGACATAGCAGTCTGTTGTTATATCCCAGATGCAGATGACCTTGTCAGGCAATATGAGACAAGCGTATTGCCTGATAAGGGGGTGCAAGTAGCACCCCATGGCATAAATTATATAGCAGATGTGAAGTGGTCAGGTCCAGGGAGAACTTTAATGTTCTAATATTTGTTAGAAGAGTTCCGCGG